AGAGAGAGCAGTGGCCTTTCTACATCAAGTATTGCCAGCTAAGACATTTTTAGTTTTGGTGTCAGTACTTAAGGGCTTTTGGGAGAACTGTGCATTATCTCTCTAGCTTCTGGAATTTTTACCTAAGTGAGACAATACATCAGCACATTAACAATATTCCAATGTTGAAACCTATCTCTAAGGCTAAAATTCTACTTATACTAAGTAGCATATATTTGCATAATCTCAGATGGAAAAACTTCTTTTTCCACTGAGCTTACAAGACTATTTGTAGCTTTCCATCACTAGTTATCTTATGGTAGTTATTTTTGCATTGTACTACCTTTATCTTGCCTACTGATCTATAGTTACTTTTAAACAAAAATTCCAATTGGATTCATTTCTACCTGCTTCATAACAATAAGGGCAGGGTCTTGATCCATTACCTATCAGAAACTAAGACCTTGAGGAATGTAGCCAAGACTAGGAAGGGGAGAAGGTAGCAGTATAAAGGCACTGGAAAAGTAAACACCAACTGAGAATGGCAAGCTTGCAATAAAACTGGGTCAAACTCTGACATCAAGAAAACCCAAAACGAAGAGATTTCATCATTGATGCTTAAAAATTTTATGACATTTGATGTCCCTGAAACCCCCACAGTGGGGCGGTGCTGGGGAGAAGGGGGAGAGGGGCTCTAGGCCTATGTTTATAGTGCCTAAAAAATAAAAAGAGATTTCCATGATAAGCAAAATGGACATGGATCACGGCCTTATTGTGCTTATATTCTGCAAGGGAGGTCAACATTAGATAACTGCACGAAGAGACATAAACCTGCAATGAATTTCAGTTATACAGTGCTGTGAAACCATATGGTAACAGGACATGATCGGGTCAGGCAGAACAAGAAAGGCTACCTTCAGGAAGAGACTACTGTGTTGAGATACCAGGCAAAAAGGAGTTGGGAATGGTGATCTGTTGAGGAAGAAATAACCACATGCAAAGACTTTGGGGGTAGGTCACATGATGTGGAAGAAGGACTGAGTGACCTCTATACCTGGAATGCAGGAAAGGTGAGTAGCACCGTGTGAAATAAGTTGGGGACAATTAGAAAGTGCTAAACCACTCGAGCATAGTAAACCATAATGAGGAATTCTGTCTATATTCTAAGAGTAATAGTCTTTAAAAAGGTAGGACATGTCAGTTTGTACTTTGTATTACACTCTCCGCCTGCCTATGGAGAATAGGCAGAATTGGTGCATTGAAGCGTGTGAGCAGATAATTTAGGAAGCCTCTGGACTAGCCCCATGGAGAGATTATGGTAGTTGGGACCAGGGTACTAACAGACCCAAATGGAGAAAAATGGATAAATTCAAGAAAAATTTTCCAAGTAAATTTGACTATATTAGGTGATAGAATCTGTAGAAGAAGGGGAAAGGAGAGAAGATGATTCCTATTTTTTCTGGTACACAGTGATATTTTTGGAGCTCAAGAATATCAAAAAGAGGGGTGCCTAGGTGGCTTGGTGGGTTAAAACCTCTGCCTTCAGCTCAGGTCATGATCTCAGGGTCCTGGGATAGAGCCCAGCATTGGGCTCTCTGCTCAGCAGGGAGCCTGCTTCCCTCTCTCCCTCTGCCTGCCTCTCTGCCTACTTGTGATCACTCTCTGTCAAATAAATAACTAAAATCTAAAAAAAAAAAAAAAGAATATTTGGCAAGATGACCAAGAGGTTAGTTAGCAACATGTTAAATTGTTAAATTTAAGGCACTTAGGTAATTAGATATAATTAATTTGGAATTGACTGGCACTGAATGCATGTATTTGTGAGAGTCATTTCAAAGTCTGCCTTTTTTTTTTTCTTTTTAGAATTTCCTTTGAGAATTTTACTCTCTCTTCTTTTTTAAAATGAGCACTGCATGATAACATATTTCCTCTTTGCTCTACCTTTCAGGGCTATTAAACATAATACATTAACCCTTTTAGCATTCATAGTTAACATATTACTTTTTTTCCTACCCAATATCTCTAATTTTCCTTCTGTTTTCTTTCTCTTTTTTTCCCTAACTAGGCTCCACACAGAGCATGCAGCCCAGTATGGAGCTTAAACTCATGACCCTGAGATAAAGACATAAGCTGAGATCAAGAGTCAGACACTTAACTGACTGAGCCACCCAGGGGCCCCTTCCATCTGTGTTTTTATGGCTCAAGCATCTAAGATAATTTCACATATATAAATATATACCCAAAGGTATTAAATGTAAATATATATATATATATATATGGTTGAGAGCCTATTTGTTAAACTACCTCATGGAGATAATATAAGAATCAAAGAAGTTAATATCTATTCAAAAGTACTGGAAGGTGTCAAATGATAATATATTGATTATTATGATAAGTGGTTAAGTCACTGTCATTAATGTTATCAGAGTTGATAATTTACAAGTCTCAAACATAGGGAAATTTGTTTCAGAAAAATAAAAATATTATATATTTAATATCAGTAAGAATACTTAATATTTAGAAGGCATATTAGCTTTCTAGAGAGATTATCATTACTGCTATGTATATAGTAAATTATATACATATGTATATATTTAGACAGACATTCACATTTCCTGTTCAGATATTATTTATTATTTAATTTTATCACACTGCTTTAGTTAAACAAGAAGGAAGAGTAGAAACAGACAAAAGTACTATTTTACTGGCCAAGACTAATTGAAAATGCCATAATGAGAAAAATAAGCATCATAACAACCACCACTACCTCAACTGTCCTATACTAGTAACGAATAGCTATTCCATTGCCTCATTATTTTACTTCTTCTCCATGCTTTATTTCTTCTAAGAAAGTTCCTAGTATTCCATTTATTTTTAAAGGGATTTTAATGGATGTGCTATGAATTTTCAATGAGCTATTTGAAATTTGAGGAACCTAATTAGGAATGTATTTACTTTCTCTTTTTTCAGGGTGATTAATTCCATGCAAGACTTTCAGGCTAATGTTACTCCAAAGAAAAAATAGAAAGGGAAAAGGAGGTTCTACTTCTACAGACTAATGGACTGGTAATTTAAAAATTGAATTAAGCATTAACTCAGAAGAGTCCTTCTCAATATATAAATTATTTCTGTTTAGCCTTCTATTGCCAGGTTAATTAAGTAAATCCTTTGGCCTTGATTATAGTCATTAGTAAATGAAAATGTATTTGAATTCACTAGTCTTGTGATTTACACTAGAGAATCTATGTGAGTAAATATATTTCCTATGTTAACAGCTTTCATAAAGTCAAACGTGTTACTTAGAAAGGTCGCTTTATCTGTGGATAAAAAACAAAAATTTATTAAGTATCTAATTTATTGTTCAGGCATATAAAATCTCTGTAGGCTCTTGTGGGGATGCCTTTAAGAAACAAACCTTATATATCTCTGTATCTTCAAAATGTGTGAAATCAACTCAAGCTTAGTCGGGGTCCTCCATTTCTTTAAAAAAAGCAAAACCTGGAAAAATCTGAAATGTCTCCCTCAAGTTGCTTTACTCAATAAAAAGCACAAGAACAAAAATAGTGAAAGGAATTTTTAAAAGAAATGAATAAATGATGTAAAAAAAAGCATGCAAGGTAATAAAATATGCACAGAAAAAACCTACAGTAAAATAATGATTTGTAATCTATCTTCTGCATAGTCAGACTCATCATCTGATGCTACAGTTATAGCTGTAATGAATTAACTTCAATATAAATTAATATATCCTATTTGTTTATGTCTTAAAAGTAGTCCTACATTACTTTGAGTACATTAGCAACAACATACTGAATACCTGTTTTAAGTATGCAATAGATAGCACCACAATTCAGAAATAAATTCTTAACAACAGTCTCTCTGTTCTCTTAAGGACATAGACCTAACTGTTGATGGCATATTGAAGCTGTAATATGTTGTAAAAGAAAACTAAGATTATTAAGTGTGTTCTACCCATTCTCTTCAAGGAAATTTTAATTGCCAAGTACCTAATTAAAATAAATTATCTAGGATAAATCAAACTTTTACTGTCTATAAAAATGCATTCATAATCATTTTGTATGGTGACATTTTGACGCAAATATATCCTAAGAGAAGCAAGGGATGCCTATACAAGTATTTGGGAGAAGGGAAAAGAGAAATACATCAAATTTGAATGAAATAAACTAGAAAAATGGCAAAATAGTAGGATTATAAGTATGAACTAGGAAAGTCTGAACATTACCCAAAATACTGTTTTTACTTTTCAAATCCTATAAATATAAACAATCAGATGATTATTGTATTTGCCTGATATATCTAGTAATTAAAAAGCCCAAAGATAAATACGCAGCTGGGAACTGGTCTGGGGGTGGTGTATAATATATTACATTATGCATCTGGTAAAATTCCTTCATGTCCCAATTTCAATCCACGTCCCTACCTGTGATTTCTCTTTTATTTTTTAGTACGCATATTTATAATTTGCCATAAACTCCCCTTCAAGGACACAGAGAACACATCACTCCGTAAGCCAACCAATCAAGAGAAATGTCATTTCCTGCACCAGTCCCTTACCCTCCATATACTACTGGAGATGACAGTCATAGAAAGGGAACTCGGTATTTAAGAATCAAAAGACCAGAGACTTGATCCCATCTTCTTAATTCATTAGATAAGCAACTTTAATAAAATATTTGGTCATGCTGAATGCATTTGCTCATGTGCAAACATTATTATTTTAATCTCTCCCCTCTCTATGTCTCAAAGCTGTAAATATGAATCATGATAATCATGTGAAGCAATCCTGAAAAAAATCTCAGAAAACCCCACAAAGATATAGGTTATCAACATAAAAAGTAGTAACTATGTCTCCAGAAAGATAAAAGTCAAAAAAGTGAAATAGTCAGTGATGAATAATCCTGGTTTTAATTTGTACATTAATTTGCAAGATTTCCAGTTAACCTCCTCTAACTATTTTTTAAAAGCACTGGCAACAATCAAACTGAATGTAGTCAACTTACTTCTGGAGCCAGAAGAGTTCCTCACTGCTGTGAAGGAGTCAGCACTCTGCCTGGCTGCTGAAGAAGATGGACAGGGTAAAAGCATCTCCAAAGCTGATTCTGAGGATAGTGTCAGAAGGACGCTCAGCTACTACATATCTTCCCAACACCTGGCTGAATGGTTACAGGGACTCTTCAAAGGAGACAAGCACAAAAAAAGTGTATCAAAATATGTTTACAAAGTATCTTTGAAAAATAGAGTTGCTGTGAACTGTGTGATCAATCTCAAAATATACCAGGAATATCACTAAATAGAATTTAAACAGATTTACATAAGAAGGCTCTCTAGTGGCCTAATTCCAACAGATATGTCAGCATTCTGTCTTCCATCTATAGACGTTTTCTTATCTCCTAATTGAAGATAGTTAAAACAACAGAAAGATCTATAATTCAATTTTCTTTACATTTCAATTAATTCAACTTGCAGACTAATGTTAAAAAATTACAAAAGTCAAGAAATGTTTAACCATCATCTACTATGTACCAGCACATGATGCCGGCCAGTCAGCAGTGACTGAAGCTCATAAATTCTGCCCTTACAGCAGCAAATTGTTTTATGTTGCAATGCCTGTATTTCCTTCAAGAAAAAAATCTACTTATTTAAACACATCTCTGTCTATGGAGGAAATACTCAGATGTGTGACTTGTATTTTAACTTTAGGTCAGAAGATTGTTGATTTCTACCTATTTCTGAGAGTCCTGTTAATGTAAGTAATAACTGACCTACCTTTATGGGACACATTATTTAACTTTCTTCCCCCTAACATCTATATAATAATGCCAACTAATATTCAACTACTACCACTTTTAATGCAGAAATAGGCTGCATTTTAAAAATGTTTTTGAAATGAACAAAGGCATTGTAATTTTACTTAAGCCATGACTTATTTTATCTGCAGAAGCAAAAGTGAGGAATAATATAATTCCAAAGGGTATTATTAAGAACCATATAAGATGATACAAAGACAATTTGGGTTTAGTTTATTGTTTCTGCTGTCTCTATTTGTAAAGATGTTGGAATAATCTTATAAAGTTAAAATTTAAGAAGGTGATTATATTGTCCTGAGATGGCTGATATTTAGGGCTTAAAAAAAAAAAAAGTAAAGCTACTGCTTAAAGTAGTAATTTATATTGAAATTACACAAAAATGCTAAAAACCAGTGCACAGATTAATAGTAAAGTGGAATAAAGTTCATTTCAAATTACCTCTATGAATCTGCCAACTGATTCCATCTCTTTAAAAATTATATTTATTACAAAAGAAATATACATCTTAGAGAATTAGAGAATAACTCAGATATACCACATACACACACACATGAATATAAGTCAATCATATGCCAACCATCCTGAGACAGCTATTGTTTGCCTTGTTATTTATTTCTTTCCATGAATATTTAAGCTAATTTTTACATTTTATATGCATGAAAAAAATACAAGAAATACAAAAGCAAATCTCCCTTCAAAGCAAGACATGTACCCCTTAGAAGAAACCAATTTCAAATTTCAGAACATCCTCTCAGAAATACTTTATGCATATATGAATGTGAGTCTGTGTATGGATTTTTATACATCTCACTATTTTGCTCTATTCCTTTTATTTCATACACCATGAAGATCACTCCTGTTTTCTATCATCAACCCTATTCATTTCTATCTGTGAATATCTATCATATGCATACAATATAATCTGCTCATAATGTGTCCCAGTTGAAAATTAGCAAATGCCCAGGATTTTATTATAAGATGATATAACCAATGTCTGTATACATCTATGTACACATATCAGTGAATATATTTATAATAAATTCTTAGAAGTAAAATGTTTAGGTCTAGAATCCTGTTATTGAAACTCTGATTATATTCTCTCTCTATTATAAAGAGGTAGTATAAAGCAAAAGCAAAGTATTATTAATGTCTCCAATTTTTATACTAACAATAAAAATGGGTTGATGATCAACAGTATTTCCATGCCTTCATTTTAGCATGGGAAGCATAGTAACTGCTACAATCCTTTCTAAATTCTAATAACCCAAAGTTCTTTTTATATATGGTCACATCATTTATTAATAACATTTTACCTTTTCTTATAATACCTTTTATTAAGTACTTATTATCTGCCAGCTTCCAAAAAGCATCTATTATCTAAACCAATTCTCCCAAGAATCAATTGAAATAAATGCATATTCTTATACACTGCTATGAAAAGTAGGGATAGAGATAAGTCAGCTAACCCTGGGCAAGGTCATATAGCTAGCACCAGGCAAGGCTGAGATTCTTTTTTTTTTGTTTTGTTTTGTTTTTGTTTTTTGTTTTTCCCTAAGGACTTAATGTCAAACCATAGATTTATTTCACAAGGGCTGAGATTCTTAATCTAAGGCTAGCTCACTCCAAATCAATGCTCTTATATCTGATATTGTAAGTGAAGATTTCAGAAAACCATCATAAGATTCTATAGTAAAGAAACACAAAGAAGGTGCTGAGTTTTTTGAGGTTTTTTTGTTTTGTTTTTCAATCTATATATTTCGGTCAGCACAATGTCAAAAATAGTAGGTTTTAGATTGGTATTCTAATACTGCAATTTTGTGGTGTGATTTTACAAAGATGTCCTTTTCTACTCGATAATATCTTGAAATAAAACATCTTATAAGAAATTCTGATCCGTCCCTTAGTTCCAAGTAGTTGCTATGTTGGCCTTCTGCCACAGTCTTAGAAAATTTGGCAATCGTTACTGTTTATGTACATGTATTCTCAAGAAATATGGTTCTTCCTCCAACAATTATCTTGAATGTCAACATTAAATTCTGAAAGAACTCGGGAAACATAGGCAAAACTCAGAAAGTTATTAGGGAATTTTTTTTTTTCAAAATGGAGAATCATGATCCCTTCTAGATCCTAGTGGTATTTTCTTCCCCTGAAGGTCTTTGCTAAGTGCTCATCAGTTGTCTGAACATATACTTTGATTCAAGTCTCACTATTGATAAAGGCAGGACTTTAAAAGTCTTACGAGCCTGGATTGGAATCACAGCAATGACCATATTACTCAGTTTTTTCTCTTAAAATGAAAAAGAGTATTACAAAAAGTTGTCATTATTTCAAGGTATTATATATCTGAAAGTACCAACCTGGAGTAAAATTCATTATAGGCATGTGATAATTTTGTTTCCCTCAGCAAGTTCTTCCTAAGGTTGCCCTAAGCTTTACCACACTAACCACTAAAGAAACGCTTGAAATATTTGAAGGGTAGCAGTAACATAATCTTAAGTATTCCTTCATATTTAAAGATCCCGCTTGAGGGGCGCCTGGGTGGCTCAGTGGGTTAAAGCCTCTGCCTTCGGCTCAGGTCATGGTACCAGAGTCCTGGGATCGAGCCCCGCATCGGGATCTCTGCTCAGCAGGGAGCCTGCTTCCTCCTCTCTCTCTGCCTCTCTGCCTACTTGGGATCTCTATCTGTCAAATGAATAAATAAAATCTTTTAAAAAAAAAATAAATAAAGATCCCGCTTGAGCAATTATGAACCCGCCAAAAAGCATCATTACTTATCTTTCTCCATCTTACCTCTAATGGTACAAATAAATACCATGAAGGAGGTGATCTCATTAGTTTTTAATTATATTTACCTTGTGTTGAAAATAATTAAAAATTAAACATTTAGTCATCTGGATGTTTGATCTACATGATGCAAAAAGCCAGTTGTTTTAAAATATATGATGAGTAAATGAATTAGATGGTTTCACTGTAATTTAGTCAATCACTTATTTGATAATAATATATTGTTTGGCATAATATAGCCATGATATTAGTGGACTACTCCAAAAATAAGGGTATAATATAAGAAATGCTATTTTATGAAGACAAATAACTTGAAAAAAATTTGGACCAGAAATATAGAATAAAATCAGAAATTATTTTTTGATAATGGGTTTTTGAAACACATAGATATTCGGGAGATCCAAAAAATGTTATGATTAAACATGCTTGCCTCATCACCAGTACTGTTAAACCTAATTTAAAAATTAGATACCCTGATTGAATATGGAAATCTATTTGTGTTATTGAATAAAAGTGTACCATACACCCAGCTATAAGAAAATGCTTACACATTACTATACACACCCAGGATCATATGATAAATAAAGTAATGCACCGCTAGAGCATTTGTTGCTTAATGTAAATGTCACTTTGTAAATGAGAACTACTAATCATTCCTTTCCTCTAATAGCAAGAGTTCAACAGTTAAATAAAACATGAATCTTGGTGACCTAAAAATTTTATTACTGCATTTGTAATTTCCTGTTAACAACTCAAGAAAATAATTTTAAGTGATGCTGTATTTCAGTAAGATACAACCCAAGGTGGAGGCTTTACTTGGGAGGGGCGGGGTAAGTATAGATGGTTAACAGGAGGAATTGTGGTAATAGAACTGTTCTGTATTTTGACTGTGTACATATATGCCTACATATGTGATAAAATTTAGGAAACAAAATGTAAATATCCACAAGTATAAGTAAAACTGACAACCTGAATAAGATAAGTAGATTTTCTCAATGTCAGTTCCCTGGTTGCAATATTAGATATTGTACTACAGTTCTACAAAAGGTTATCATTAGGAATGAAACTCTGCATAGGGTATATGGGATCGCTCTGAATTACTTATCTCAACTGCATGTGAATCTATGTAATGCTATATCATTACATAGATTAGAGTGACACTTAATGACCAACAACTTCAGGCTGCAGTCTCAGCATTCATTAATAGAAAAGGATTATTTAGAATATCAAGTTTAACACTGTAATGAATTATTTCATCCTGGGCGCCTGGGTGGCTCAGTGGGTTAAAGCCTCTGCCTTCTGCTCAGGTCATGATCCCAGGGTCCTGGGATCAAGCCCCACGTCGGGCTCTCTGCTCAGCAGGAAGCCAGCTTCCTCCTCTCTCTCTGCCTGCCTCTCTACCTACTTATGATCTCTATCAAATAAATGGATAAAATCTTAAAAATAATAATTATTTGGTCCTTATCAAATCACAACTGGGTTACAGTGTGTCTCACAGGAAAGACTGGGAAAAAACTTAAATTTAGTAGTGAATGAAAAGGATTGAATTGCTCCTTGCTTTAGGTACTAGAGTGCATCAGC